GGATGTTGGCATTTTGCAGGGTAAAGTATCAACCTATAGTATCATGTATATTTCTTAGAATTCCTGTGAAGCTCACTGAAACCCATCCAGCATCGAGATTATTCTTTTTATGAACTATAGCAGTATTTTTCAATCTTGGCCACTTGAAGATGTCTCAATTTCAACTCCCAAAATTCTGCATGCAGCAAATGGAATGGGGAATTCTGAGAGTTGAAGTCCAGACACTTTAAACCAGGGGTGAAATTCAGAAGGTTCTGACAGGTTCTGGAGAACCATTAGCGGAAATTTTGAGTAGTTTGGAGAACCGGCAAATATCACCTCTGGCTGACCCCAGAGTGGGATGGGAATGGAGATTTTGCAGTATCCTTCCCCCAGGAGTGGGGAGGGAATGGAGATTTTGCAGTATCCTTCCTCTGCCATGCCCACCAAGCCACACCCACAAACCGGTAGTAAAAAAAATTGAATTTCACCACTGCCTTAAACTAGCCAGGGTTGAGAAACACTGAACTAGAATATTTAATTGTGCTCTTTTGGCAAAAGTATATCATGTGTAGACTCAGAGTTTACTTCTGCCTTTTACTTAGTTTTTTTATATAAAGCTTCCTCAAGTTGCACTCCACTTCTGGTGACTTTATGCATGTTCATGTCATTTCCTTGGCAAGAGTATGCCAGAACCATCTTTATTTTCTAGAATATTTGTCTCCGCTCATTCTCATTTACAGAGCCGGGCTATGCATGTGTGGTCCTCATCAAACTACTAACTAGTTCAATATCTGCTTAGTGTTTTCAAGATCAGCCAAGGTTGGCTAAGTGCTACCGCCTTCTACAACTTGCCTTCTAACAAATAAGAATTTTGTAATTGGACACAAAGCCTCCATAATATCCATTCTATGACTATAACCCTAACAGGTTCTTGTAATTCAGCCCCCAAATTGGCCCCCCAATTGAAGGAACTTCATGAAACAATGTAGTCCTTTATCAAAGACCATCTGAGGTTCCTTCGTTTTGCAGCCTGGAACTTTTAAATATATACATAAAATATATTATGTATAACAGGATGTGCAACGATCCAATCCTGTTATTTGCACAACAGCATTTGACAACAATTTGCAGATCATCAAGTTGTGTAGCAATAGAAAGAAAGCAACTATGCAAAATTTATCAGATCAGAAGACTTTGTGGAAAGTGGGGGGGGGAGAATGAAAAGGAGTGCCATCTTCATAACATCAAACCACAAAAAAATCCATAGGACGATGTAACACAGGCCCTCTCTTTCTATCCAAGCCTTCATTCCAGCCAGAATAAGAGTAAATTTGTAGGAACAATCTGAAACATTTGGTACAAAAGTTCACACACACAAATGGCAAAAAGTCAACAAGAGGGGTTTAATTCCACTCATTGCTCCTTTGATTAAGATGCCTTAATGGGCTTACATTTTTGGTTCTCTGCTTCAATGAAATGAATCTAAAGTCAAAGAGGGATATGAGATCCATCTATGCTGCTAAAGTACGACTCCAGATAACAAGATCAATGTTGAGGAATGCTAGATTTTTTCAGGATCTGGAAGGCTGCAGATTTCCCTTTTTTGGGGTTGTCAGCACTTCCTGTAATTTCTCATAGCAATAGCACTTAGCCTTATATACTGCTCCATAGTGCTTTACAGCACTCTCTGAGCAGTTTACAATGTCAGCATATTGCCTCCTACAATTTGCGTTCTCATTTTACCAACCTTAAAAGGGTGGAAGGCTGATTCAACCTTGAGCCCCATCAGGATCAAATGCTAGACTGTGGGCAGAGTTTTCCTGCAATACTGCATTCTAACTACTGCACCACCAGGGCTTCAAGGAAGGTAGCCAATGCAGAAAAACCAGCATGGGATCAATTAAAAGTTTGGCCAAAAAAAATGCCTACAAGTCTGGAGCCTTTCTAATCATCTCTGTTCTCTTGCTAAGCTTTTCTCTTCCTCCCAGCTGTTCGACATTATTTTTATTCCATCTATTCAGGACATATAAATGTAGTCGTTCTATGGATAACCCAATTCAAAAGCTGACCATCTCCCACAAGGTTTCATTCAAGAAGACTACCAACGATAGAAGAAACCAACTCAACTTCTCTTGCTCAATGCTGCATCAACTGAAATGCAAATAGGTCATACAATGTAGAGAGCTGGCTAATGTCTCAGCAGTGAATTGGCACTGTGACCAGAAATCCTTGGTAGGAGGGTAGGGATTGAATTAGCACATCTGCTAATCCAATGAAGTCTGCTAAATATTTTTTTCAAGTACAGAAATAGGGCTGAGACACAAATATTTTGGAAGAAAAGAATCAAGAGACACAACTGGAAATCTATTCATAAGCTAACTAGTTGGTTATTACCCTAACTTGTTAGTTCGACTTGGTTATCCTGGTGATCTTCCTTCTGGTTTGATTTTGCTTAGCTTTTTTAAGATCAGCCAAGGTCAACTATATGCTGCCACGTTGCTGGGCAGAGATTGCCCTACTGCCACCTAAAATTGACCCTCAACGTGAGAAGGAAAATGGAAAAAAAGAAGACTGAAATGCAACTCAATTTAAAAAAAAAAAACCAAATCAAATAATGGAAATAGGCTTTTTCTGACCCTAGATTTTTTTTTTCAGTAAACCCCACCCCCACCCCAATATTTAAATAATGATGCACTGATACAGATTTTAAAAATAACAACTTGTCCAATGAAATCTGCTCCTTTAAGCAATTGCTTCACAGCAGCCATGTTTGAACAACACAACTGACCCTGTAATCTCTCATCAACTGACCTACTGTCATGCGTTAGCAATGCATGGTCTTGAACAATCACGCAAGGGTCATTTTTAAATAGATATATATTTAAATATATATCACAACTAATATGACCAGGATTGGCACATCACTTTTGCAGCCCATTTTCCATCCCAGTGTGACCACAGAGGTATGAAGAAAAACCAAACCATCCCAGGGAAATTGTACTTAGAGGAGACCAAACATTCATCTCAATCATGGACAATAGAAAGAACTATTAAAGCTCAGGCAATATTACCGGACCAGTAGCTCCAAATCAATCCTGGAAAAAATGGCTGGGTCAATTCATTACAGTATGTTCCATAGTTTGCAGAACATATTAACATTCCTCACCCATCCACTGATTAGCATAAGTAGGAGGACTATTAAGGGAGAACAAGGCCAAGCCTTATTACACTACCTAATCTAGATAGCAATTTTCCACAGCAGTTCAAGCACTGCATCTACTAGTACAAAGAGTTTCGGAAACTTTACTTACATCTTCCATACTTCATTTGATAGAATTGCCCAGAATGGCTCATTGCTGAATCATGATAAACCTCTTTAAATCAATGGTCTTATATGATAATGCCAGGTTATATTTTTACTGCTTGAGCAATGGACTCCATGGAATATAAGCCAGTGCCTTCCCTGTTTAGCTTGACCGATCTCCTTGAAGTCTGTCAAAAAGCAAGAGAGACTGCACCATTTGAGAGCAGTCTTTGAAAACTAATGCAAACTCCTGCACCAAGACATTTAGCGAGTGATACATAAAACTGGTATCAGGGATGGTATTCACTTACCTTCGCTACCACTTCACAAATGTGAGTGCGTGCTTTCTCCACGCATGCGCAGAGCCTTCTGCGCATGTGCAGAGGGTAAAAAATGGGACGTGATGATGTCCGGGTCGGTGGGCAGAACCTACCGCCGCCAACGCTACCAGATCACATGATCTGGTTAGAGCCAGCTGAATTTCACCACTGACTGGTAGCCTGCAAATTTACAAATTGAGTGAAACAACAAAAATGTCATGTATAGGAAGATTTGGGGCAGGAACTGTGGATCATGTGGGATGAGAGTTAGATAATACTAATATTCTTCTGTGAAACACTTTTGTGATTTGGGGTGGGGGGAGGCAAGCTTGGTTGCTATCACTCCCACTTCCAGTTTCAATCGTCTTCAAATTTCTTGAAAAAAATATATATATTAATTTTGAGTCTGATGAAATGCAAAAATTGCAACACTTTTGAGTTTGAGTTCGATATTTTTCTTTCCTGATAAGTATAATCAAAACATGTCTTATTAATTAAAACACAGAAAAGAGGTCATAAAAGTTTCAATCCCATGATTATATATGATAGCACCAAAACAAAAAAGAATCAAAACACATTTTTTAAAAAAAAAATCCTGGTGATACCTCAACAACTTGAACAGGAACTCTGAAAAATGCAGTAAACTCTGCCATGTGCATTAATAGGCATATTTTCACTTCAGCCAAAAGAACAAAGGATTGAGAACGTTTTTAATGACCCTCCAAAATCAAGATGAAGTAATTCAGAAGCCAAATTTCCAACCATGTTGGCTGATGGTTCTCAGGGTTGTAGCCTCAATAAATCTTGAGAGCACTTAGTCTGGGGAAACTTCTTCTGACTAATCTCTCCTCCTGTCCCTTTTGTTATGCTGAGTAGCATCCTCTCTGCAAAGGTAGATTCGGTGCCTTTCAAAGCAACATGAGATCAATTTTATCAAATCTAAATGTCACTGACTCAATCCTGGTAATACGTCTCAGCTATCCATCAACAGGAAATGAACAAAAGGAAATTCGGACACTATTCGACACCATTTCACTTAGAAGCTAAAGATAAGACAGAAGCTTTTGCTGGCTCTACTGCTGCTAGAGATCAAAAGCTCTCCCAGCCTCCCATTCAGGCAGGAAAGTTTCTTGATTTGCATAACCAACTTCTCATGCTGTAAAACTTTGATATGCCTGCACCCAGGAGTTTCGTTCGGAACCGGGCCTCAGCTGGCAAAATGTACAGAAACCAACAGGAGTAAAATCCAACATACCTGAACCCAGGAGATTAAGCTATTCCCCCTTCTCTCCATCCGCTACACAGATGGGGCAGGCACACCACTCACCAGAACACCTGAGCCACAGGATTCAAGGCAAGAGGAGGTGGGGAGGGGAACCTCTTGTAACACTGACTGAGTGTAGTTATGGAATATTTTATTTTACACAATATAACAACATAGAGTTGTTGAGATTTTACAGCATTTGCCTGAAAATGAAGGCAACACCATTACCACGTGGGGGAGGGGACGGGGGAGGAGAGAGGGAAGAAAAAGACACTCAGGATTGCTTTAAAAAATATTCTTTTTTTGTATCATGTTTGATCCATTAAATGGTTGGTGTAGAGGAAAGACCCAACGGCCTCCACACAAGGCCTTTTTTTCCGCCCATGCGCTTTCATTCTTGATCTGCCATTGGAGAACCAAGATGCCAATCCAAGGAAAAAGGAAGGCACTAGTGTCATTTCGTGCTTTTTCCTTGATCACTTTTTTTTTTTTTAAATGAGCTCTTTGAACGTGACATTTGCCTTCGGTTGTTATACTAAAAACAAAGAAACCCCAAATGGGAACAAGTGGAAGTTGCCTGGTGGATTGAGCCCAACTCTGCCCAAGAACAATAAGGGTGGAAAAATGCAAACTGCTCGAATGGATAGACGCTTCCCAACAATGTTTGGAGGATGGGGGGTAGGTGGGGGTACTCCGTACTTTTTTTTTTTAATTTAGAAAACAAAAAAACCACACATCACAGCTGATCACACAGTGCTTTCCAATATCCACTCAGAGCTTGAGAAAGTTGCTTTGCCACTATCCACATTGGAACAGTCTGTCTGCATGAGCATCCCATTCATAGACAAGCTCCGCTTAGACCAAAATCCACCTGCATTTGAGGAGTTAATATAACAATGGTATTCCATTAATTCTCCGTTCAGGGAGTACCTGCGTTTTGCCCGGGATGGGTCAGCTGGCAAAGTGAGGAACTTACTTGACTTGGCTTGTGCTCTTTTGTACTGGGATCCCCCTTTGGCATAGTCTGGGGTTTGGCTAGACAACTGCAGAGCAGTTGAGTTGTTGCGATTAGTGTTCTGGGATTCTAGGCTGGTAACGGCGCCTTCGCTCGGCGGTGGAGGATCACTGCTGGGCTTTGGCATGGGCTTACGCTTCAGCTTTTGGGAAGTGGGAGGGCCAGGAGTCCACATGGGAGGCAAAGAGGAGGTAGCAGTGGAGGAGTCCTGGCTGCAGCAGGCTTCCGACGACTGCGCCACATTGTCGTTGCTGACTTTGCAGCACTGCAGGCTCTCCTCACGCCCCACGGCCTGCTTGGACCCAGACTGGGACATGACGGCTCCACTGCACCCCTGGGCCTGAGCCCCGTTGGTCTGGGAGTAAACGTTGCTGACCTTGGTCACCTTGGGGTGCCCGCCGTTGTTACACACCTTATAGCGAATCATGAGGATGATGATGAAGACCAGGACGGAAGCCACGATAATCCCTCCGATGATGATGATCATGGTCCCTCCCAGGAACTGGGACTGCATGAAATGGCAGCGCACGTAGTCCTGCTCCGTCGTGAACTGGGTGCATCCCACCACCCGAGTGGCTGTCAAGGAGGTGATGCCATCGTCATAGATTGCTAAGACACACAAGTCGTACATCGTCCCCGCGGCCAAGTTGTTGACCAGGAAGGTCTTGCTCATGGGAGGTATCATTCTACGAGATGATAGGATAAGACATAGATTAATACATTGGATGGGATGGAGAGGATATATACCATGAAGTGGATCTCCAGGTGCTCTGCCCAAGCCTGCTTTCCCAGGGCCTCCTAGTTGTGATGGGGGATGTGGTCCCAATACAACTGGAGAACATTGGCTGGAAAGGAACTTTTGTCTTTCCTTTTCCATTCAACACAACAGTCAATCTAAATAAAGCAGAGTTTGACACTAGGTTAAATAAGGAAAGCGAAAGGGAAAACTATTGGCAGAGCACTGGAAGAATCCCCATGTACTTTCTCCTCAAAAACATACTCTGTTGTCAGACATTATGCTTCTTGCCCCAGGTTATCAAACCTAGATCTAGGGCACTCAGTGTTTTAAATATGCACCGGCACATGACACAAGAAAATAGCATTTCAATATAGTCTATATACATGGGACGTTTTCTCAACTATTCAAAACAATGCACCGCTGGTTAAAAATGCTAAAGCAAGTCCAAATGATACATGAAAACATCCATATAATATAGGAATAAAGCAAATCCAGATGAAAGGAAAGATATTATCCAAAGTTCAGGTGAGTATGAAAGCCAAGAAAAGGCCAAAATAATTACACTTCTTGCTTTCAGGTTTCCTTTAGAATATAGAAGTTGTTCCATTTATTACATTTAAGTATGCAACTCCCAGAGTTCCCTAAAGCATTCTTCAGTCAGTTGTGTTGAACTGTAAATCTGCATAGGCTTGTGCTATTTATTATCCAAAAAGAAACAATATTCCCTTTCTTTTTTGAAAGCTTGGAAACAAGGCCCAGGGGCTACCTAAATGGACTGGGAGCTGCCTGGCTACTACCCTTGTTTCTCCTTTTGCTTCTCATGAGCTCAGAAACAAGCTTGACTAGATATTTAATTATTTATTCATTCATACATTCATTCATTTGATTTATCTAGCTCCCCTCCTCAGCATAGAAACTCATAGTCCCTTCAAGCCTCTCTGTCTCCATCCTAATTCATATACATTGATATATAAAATGTATGCTCTTCCTGCAGTGGAAGGAAAGTAAACTCGATCTCCACAATCATTTTCTAAGGGATGAGTTGGTAGCATCTTCTGTTCATAGATAGACAGATAGACCTCTAGAGCTGGTGGGGGGGAGGAGAAGAGATAAGCAGCAAAATTAATTCTAAGGCTTTGTTCTGTGCTGGAATTATAGTACCTGAACTATTACATTTTCTATGACCCCAGCTTAGAGAGTCAAATATCCTTCTTCTATCTGAGAGAGAGTACATGTACACAACAGGTGACTGAACCTGAGACCAAAGTGGCCCCAATTTAGCAATAGCAATAACTTTGCAGCCCTCTCTAAGCGGTTTATGGAGTCAGCATATTGCCCCCAACAATCTGGGCCCTCATTTTACCCACCTCGGAAGGATGGAAGGCCGAGTCAACCTTGAGCTGCTCAGAATAGAACTCTTGGAGTGAGCAGTGAGTTAGCCTGCACCAAAGAATTGAGGCCTTTGAACTATGGTGCTGGAGAAGACTCCTGTGAGTCCCTTGGACTGCAAGGCGAACAAACTGGTCAGTCCTAGAGGAGATCAACCCTGACTGCTCTTTAGAAGGCCAGATCCTGAAGAGGAAACTCAAATACTTTGGCCAACTAATGAGAAGGAAGGACTCACTGGAGATGAACCTAATGTTGGGAATGATTGAGGGCAAAAGAAGAAGGGGATGGCAGAGAACGAGGTGGCTGAATGGAGTCACTGAAGCAGTAGGTGTGAGCTTAAATGGACTCCAGAGGATGGTAGAGGACAGGAAGGCCTGGAGGAATGTTGTCCATGGGGTCACAATTGGTCGGACACAACTTCACAACTAACAACAACACTGCATTCTAACCACTGCACCATCATGACTTTTATTTACCAAGTCACAAAGGACATTCTTAGAGTCATCAAAAAGCCAGGTATCTGAGATTCAACTAGAACTTTCTTTAATGTAGCAGCTTTCCTCAGCTAAGACTTCTGAATCTTTTCCATATCAACAGAAGGAGATGTTTGTAGTTCAGGGTCGAACTGTTGGGCCCTTATTGCTTCTGAGCTTAGTTGTTTTCTTGTAGACCTTTCATTACCCAACTAGGTAACATCTTCAGTACATTGATGATATTAGCTAGTTGAGTAATGAAATATCTTTCCCATATACTCTCATCTATTTTTCTTTCTTTCTTTCAATATACTTTTAAAAGCACTAAGAATAAATATATTTTAATCCCAATCATCCTTGCATACGTTTCGCTAAAATGATTGTAAAATGGTATGCTTATTGCAAAAAAAAAAAAAAAAAAAAAAAATCACCCTCTTGATTTGGTGTTTTTTAAGTAGGGGGAGGGATTGCTCCTGATTCTTTTAATCTGCAGGACCAGCTCCCATCCAAGGATATGGCATTTAAAAAAAAAAGATACTAAAAGATAAACTGTTCTTGAACTGTAACTGCTCCATTAATAGTTTTCAGAGCAAATCCTTATTTAGCAAATAAAAGTCATTGGCTCTTTTCTTCTCTGCCGCCAAATGAGATTGAATAATTGGAATTTTCCTGAGAGGCAAATATGGGCATCTTTTTTAGAACTGTTTCTACTGTCATCCCAAATAGAGGGTATTAATGTCTTCTTAGCAGTCCAGCTAAATTAACCAGATTACCTTGAAGGATTAAAGTTCAACAAGGATTTGTACAAAAATAAAACAGATTTAAATAAATCAGACTTCAAGACTGAAAACGACACTGCCCTTTGCCCATAAAGGAGGACAATTACTCAGGCTTCCCTCTGGATGGAAGCCAAGGTCTAATAGTTCTCATTAATTTATTAATTGGTTTATTTTTTTAAAAAAAAACCATCAGATCCTGCTTTCCAGTTTGCTAGAATTCTCAGAGTTGCTTAGAACATTCACAAATAACCAGAACATAAAACCAGTAATGAAATAGCCCGGGGAAATAAAATTCTCTGTTTTAATAGACCATCGTCAGCTGTTCTTAACATTTGGGTAGGAACATAGGGAGGCATATTAGCATCTGGGTCATTCTCCTAAGCAATCAAGAACCCTATTTTAAAAGTCAGTTCCTGGAATATGCAGACAATACATACACATTTTTACTCTCTTCCCCAAAAGACCTGTGAACAAGAAATCAATGCATTTAACACAGCTGTCACTACTGCTGTTCATCATGTTGTTAGGGTTTTTTTTTGTTTTGTTTTGTTTTAACCTAGCTAGGCAATTAGCTCTCCCAGGCCCTGGCCCATTAATGGTTGCAGTAGTCAGTTTATTTACCTGCAGAAATATTATTTGATCACTAACGCTTTCTATACTGCAGCTTTTAATACAACCTTTCGCCCAAATCACCATGTAGTGCTCAGTAGCATTCATGCAGCACTTTGGAAATAATTTAAAAGGTTACTTTGGAGGACACAGGGACTTGGATGCTACCCTTGCCTGCATTTCTTTAAACCATAGAATTTCCTGTGCCTCGGAAAAGACAAAGTTACTTTAAAGCAGGGGTGGGGAACTATGGCCCTTTTATGACCTGTGGACTTCAACTCCCAGAATTCCTGAGCCCAGCCATGCTGGCTCAAGAATTCTGAGAGTTGAAGTCCACAAGTCATAAAGGGCAGTGGTGAAATCCAAATTTTTTTACTACTGGTTCTGTGGGCGTGGCTTGGTGAGCGTGATGTGACTTGGTGGGTGTGGCTTGGGAAGGATACTGCAAAATCTCCATTCCCACCCCACTACTGGAGAAAGGATACTGAAAAATCTCCAGTCCCACCCCACTCTGGGGCCAGCCAGAGGTGATATTTGCCAGTTCTCCGAACTGCTCAAAATTTCCACTATCAGTTCTCCAGAACCTGTCGGAACCTGCTGGATTTCACCCCTGATAAAGGGGCCATAGTTCCCCACCTCTGCTTTAAAGAATGGTTGCCAACCTTTTGGCTTGCCTGGGCCACACTGAGTGAAGAAGAAATGTCTTGGGATGCACATAAAATATATAATATAGTTAATGGTGGGATTCAAGTAATTTAACAACCGGTTCTCTGCCCTAATAATTTTTCCCAACAACCAGTTTGCCAAACTGCTCAGAAAGTTAACAACCGGTTCTCCCGAACTGGTGCGAACTGGCTATATCCCACCACTGGTTAATGTGTATAAATTATATAACGTTAGAAGGTTACAACCTTGTGGAGCCACATTATTAGCTGTCCAGGGCTGTAGATTGGGGCACAGCTGCTTTAAAAGGTTAACAGGGAGCTACAACTTTCATGCTCTCACATACTGATTATCTTTTCTGGATTATCTCCGAAGCACCACACAACCCTAGCACCTGATCCGTCATTCTCTCTCCTGTGACACAAACCCAAGCATGGCATAATTCTTCCTTTTCTAAAGACAAGAACCGCAACTCTGACTGGGATAAGAATTTATATCCAAAGCAAATGTACCATCCATCATTCCTTTCCTTAAATATATACCCAGTGAGCAATTCAGCAGTTAAGAGATCGGTTACATAAACTACGGAGAAACATCTCAGGAAGCCGACATCCATGCTTTCCAAACACAGTACTGAAAATACCCCTTCAAAAGATGATTACGCTAATGGATAAACAAATACAGTCCTGTGATTGTGGAGCTGCAAGCTATAGATGTAGACCCACAAACCATTCAAAATCATTCTGCAACTTAAAAAAACAAACAAAAAAACCCAGAGTTCTTGGATTATGCTTGAGAGCCAATCTGCTACCACACGAGCTAGGTAACCTCTTTGTGTTGTTTCTCCTTGCAGGAGGTTGTTACATTATCACTCTTTCCATCCCAACCTATACATTTAACCATCTGTCCAACAGGCAAAAGGAATACAGTTTCATTCCTGACTTTTCTGGAGTTTCAGCTGGGCCGGAATCCCCTACCTGTAAACAAGCGAATCATCATATGTTCCATTATACTGAATTTGGAACATACGTATCCCGGGTATATTCCTTTGGAAATTAAATTTAAGCAGGGCAGTGGATGATGTGGCTTCTGCTATCACCACCTTCTTGTCCTGGCTAACTTTTGTTTCCCCGTTGCTACTGCTTGCATTTGAGCCAGATTTGGTCGAAGTTGATATATCCGAGGAGCCAGGATCTGGCTCATGGATGTGGTTTGTGCTGTTTACTATGTGAGGCAGTTTGATTATGTGAAGATCTACAGACTGGGTGTCTTCCCCCGCTGGGTTGGAAGCAATACAGGTGAAAGACCCCGTATCCTTCATGGTTGTAATATGAATGTCAAGAGTTCCGTTGTCGTACACCAGAGACCTGGTTGCATTAGAAATCAGCTTGCCTTCTGGGGAAATCCAATGTATAGCAGGTTCTGGATCACCACGGGCTTTACATCTCAGGATGGCTCTTTGGCCCTCTAGCACTCTGAGCTCATGCGTGTGCCTAGTAATGAGGGGGGGTTCACACAGGAACTCCTCCTCGGGGACTGACCAGAAATAGCGGCCAGACAGAACAGAAGGTGAAGCACACGTCTCCAGGTCATCCTCCCTGGAAAGGCGTCTCAGCCACAAGAGTTCACAATTGCAATGAAGAGGGTTCCCTCCAAAGCTCAGTGCAAATGTGGATGGGCTGATGATTCCTGAGGTGGCTAAAACCTGAGCTCGCTGGAAGAGAGGGTCAGGTGGCAGTTTATGCAGTTTGTTGGATGTGACGTCCAGCCGGGTCATCTTGTGGAGGTGGGAGAAGGTCCCCTTGGGAATGTTGATGATCATGTTGTGGTCCAAACTGAGGGTGTGCAAGCTGACCATCTTCTCAACAGCATCCCAGGGAATGGTCTCCAGGTTGTTGTAGGACAAATCCAGCTCCTCAAGAGCCAAGACATCGTCAAAAGCGGTGGAAGAGATCATAGTCAGCTGGTTATTGTTCAATATCAAATGATGCAGATTGGAAAGCCCACTTAGCATATCATGGGTGATTTTAGTCAATCGGTTACTGTTCAAGTGCAAAGCCCTCAGGTTGCGCAGGTCAGCAAATGCATGAGGGGTGATGAAACTAATTGTATTCCTAGACAGCGTCAGGTCCACCAGGCTGGTCATGTTGGCGAAATCTTTCCGCTTGATACTTGTAACAAAGTTGTCTGCCAGTCGCAATTCTACTGTCTTCCTATCAATGTCAGGTGGGACAAACAATAGCCCTTTCTTTGCACAAAGTGTAGCAAGATTGGGAGACCAGATCTGGCATACGCAGCGCTTGGGACAAGTCTCGGCCTTCAGCACTAAGCCAATGAAGAACAGATATAGAAGCAGTTTTTCCATTGTAGAACAGGGTCAGGATCCTGGGGGAAAAAAGAAAAGAGAATACACTGCATTAGAGGAGAGCATGTCAAGGGCAGGGAAATCAAGAAGTCCAGGCAGTTCAAAAGAATATAAAGGTTTATTGTATGCTTATGCTCTCTACAAGAATCTGAACTACTAACAGTCAAAGCAAATTGATGGTAGATACCAATCAATAGACATCAAGATAGGCTGGATTTAAATCTCTTGTGGGTGCGAAGGGATTCGAGACCAATGACCCACTTGACACACACACACACACACACACACACACACACACACACACACCGTTCAGGTTTCAGCCTGATCATCTCCTACGGAGCAATTCTACAGAGAAAACAAGAACTCAGAAGCATATATGGAAGAAATCAGTGAGTACTTCACCAGGGGATTAAAGATTCTACTTCACTATATTCCAGCTCACAAGAGAATTAAGTGGACAGAGCTATCTAAGAATTCAGTGCATCATTTCTAGCAACAAATACATGACTGCAAAATATATGTCTTTTGATAGGCCTTTCAGGTACATTAAGTGTCTGGAATTCTGGGAATTCCAATTCATGTGTGAAAGGCAAATAACTTTATTTCCTTCAATAGTAAATGAGCCACAGTGACTTAATCCTCTTAGTAACTGAAGATTAACATTACATCCACCATTAGAAGAAAACACAACAATAGACTCTTGTAGCCTTATTTTGCATTTTTATTCAAATAAGCTTGCTAGATCGGGCTGGTAAAAGTTACTTGCTCATGAGAATCTAGGATATTTCATTCAGCTTTGCCTGCAAGCCTATGATGCTGAATTCTTGCCAAAAATGGGCTCCCTCCTGCACACAATCAACCAAAACTGATGGTCTGGAGGATGCAGACATTTGTTTTACTACATGCTTCCTGGGAAATTCACCTCCAGGTATTTTATAGAAAAATACTGGAGCGTGTCATAAAATCACAAGGTGACACACAGCTGAATTTCAGAAACAAGTGGAAGGTGGAGTGGAGATTACCAAATCACAATCCAAGTCATCCAGCAATAGAATAACAGAGTTGGAAGGGACCTTGGAGGGTCTTCTAATCCAAGCCCCTGCTCAAGCAGGAGACCTTATATCATGTTTCAGACAAATGGTTGTCCAATTGCTTCTTTAAAACCTCCAGTGACAACAGAAGTACTTGCCCTTTTTTAAAGACCTCCATTAGATAATTTACCACTCCCAATCTCAGGTTTTATTGCTTTAGGAAACATTGCCTCAGTCAAATCCTGTTCCCTCGTTAATTTCTGATGCAACATAAGTTTCTTACATCACCCACAGGTAGCAAAACATTTGGGCCTGAGGGACTGTCTGAATGGGAATTACATCTTTATTCAATGAGAACCACTTGGCTCATCTGAAAATGTAAGTTTTGAATAGGTTCTCACAACATGTACGGTAGACCACAGATATTCATATTGTAATTAAGCACCCCTAAAGTATATAGATGGGGGCACAGTGGCCTATGGGGATATAGTGGCCTAGCAGTTAAAACACTGGGCTTGTCAACCGGAAGATTGGCAGTGTGAGACTCAAATATTACGATGCGTCAGTTGAGCTTCCGTTCCTGCCCCAGCTACTTGCAAATGGAAGTAGATAAATAGGTACCACTTCGATGGGAAGGTAACAGTGTTCTGTGTACCTTGGCATACAGTACAGCCATGCCAGCCACATGACTAGGGAAGTATCTTTGGATAATGCTGGCTCTCTCTACTAGGAAACGGAGATGACACCACCCCCTAGAGTCAGACACACCTGAGCAGGGGAAACTTTACCTTTATCTTTAAAGTATATAGGGTGCCTATGCTTTCACATCAATACATAACTGATCCACCCTCTGGAAGTGCCCAAGCTACTAGCAGAGGTGGGATTCAGCTGGTTCTGTCTGGTTCGGGAGAATCGGTAGTGGCGACCGCGGGAGGCTCGGCCCACCCGCCCAGATGTAATATGCGAGCAAAGAGTATGCACGGAAGGCCATGCGCATGTGCGCGCTCACATTTGCAAACCGGTAGGGAAGGTAAGTGAATCCCACCTCTGGCTACTAGCAATTGTGCCAGCAAAATCCTGGTATTATTAAGAGCAGACAAAAATTGGAGAAACATTTAAAAATAGAGATATTAGAATGGAGATTGGTTTGGGTCCAAGATAAGCATGACTGACTGAGGACAAAGACGTGATAATGTGCAAGTTATTTATTCCACACATTGTCTAAGATGACACACGTCTTTAGTTAGATGGCACTGTTCAGCAACACTAACTGAAAAATATGCAAATGTCTGGTAAAACTGATACAACTTTTGTTGTAGAGTCTGAAGACTGTCTGCCAAGAAGCCGCAGTAGCTCACTGTTCTCTCCTCCTACACTTTGGCATCTTGCACATACCCAAAAGGAAAAAAAAATTACCAAGATTAGGGTCACCTGATATTTCAAGTCACAAATTCAATGCCTGGAAAGCTGCTGCCATTTGATCATTAAATCTCTTCACAACTGAACCATCTTGTAATTAAAAACTACCTCCAGTTCACTCTTCTTTTCCATAAAGGGCATATAGAGGGTGAGCTCATAGAAGGAATGTATAGATCGGTCTGCAGTTGAGCCATATACATAACACATGCATGTTCAATTATTAATATATTCTAGTGATTGTCCGTATTATTGTAATTTCTTTTATACACCCAAGAGAACCCTGCTTTACATTTTCTCAGGTCACTTTCACAGATTTGCATTTTGTCTGCGTCTGGAACACATTTTTCATTAATAAACACATTTTTGCATACATACATTTATTTTCCTGATTTCCCAAATAGATGTGTTTATTTCACACTTTTTTGTGCTGAGCTACATTTCAAGACAGATGTTGACAGCCTCAGTGAATTACCTGCTTGTTTATAGTGGAACAGATTTTGTTTTAGCACTTAGACGATTCTGCATGGAAATGAATCCATTAACATTTTTCTGGCACCCCTAGTTCAGCAATTCCCAATTCAAACTTTCACCTCCAGGAACCCGAGACAAGCTATGACTCTCACAGCTTTGACAAAATGAAAATCATGTATATCCACACTTTTATAAGCTGCTTCTCAAAGCTATTTATTGTAAGATGAAAAGAAGGGTTTAAGAGATTAAAAGGGAAAAGCAGAAACAAAAATTTACATTTCAATAGGAAAACCACAACAACCCACAACAGCCTAATAATATCAGCAGGTTGCCGTTAAAACATGCTAAATCTGAGTAAAATAAAAAGAGGTTTGCTTTATTATTTATTTATTTCATTATTTATATCCTGCCTTTATTATTTTTACAAATAACTCAAGTTGGCAAACTTATCCAACCCACCTTCCTCCTCCTATTTTCCTCACAACACCACCAGTAAGGTGGGTTGGGTTTAAGAGAGAGTGACACAGATATTTGCACAATTTCTTAACTGTGCGGAGGTCCAGATATGAATTTCTGCTGGGAATTAAATGGGGAAAAAACCCTTACTAGTCACAGTTCTAGAAAATTTATGAAATTGTTCTATCTATTCCCAGTTAGAAATAGTAATTTAAATCAAAAACGGATTTTAAAAAATCAGACCAGTTTTCTCAACATCAACTTATTATTCCATGTAGCATTTTTCCCCCTTTGCTACAGTTTTAAAAAAATCATTTCAGGGATGAAGATATGAACTTTCCAGATGTTCTGAAGGCACCAAAAACCTGATTCTGTTGTTCAGAGAAAAATATTACCCATTACAGATGTAATTCACTTTGCTAATTTAAGAAGATACAATACCATACGTAAAATGTGGCTTATTTGCCTAATTTTTAGTTTGCTAAACATATTAATAGTAAAACTATAATTTAGTTGTATAATAATTATGTTTGCCAGTTGAATTTATTTTAAAATGTTATTTACTGATTGCTTTTGCACTCCTTTGTCCTCTGAAGTGAAGGACAAAGAGGAGATCCGTTGATCTCTGGATAAAAAGTCAGCAATAGATAAACCCAGGTGCAAATCAGTATGAATTTCATTTTCACTAAAGAAGAAAAGAGAAAGACCAACAGAAGTAGGGGGGAATCCATTTTGAACATTGGCTGGGGAGTTCTGGGAGTTGAAGTCCACACACAATAAAATTGCTCAGGTTGAGAAACACTGCTCTAGATAAGAGACTTCTATATTCTATATTCAGAGCATTTGGAAGGAACAGAGACAAGCAACATATGAGCACTTTTTTGTTGTGTTTTGTTGTTGTTTTTCATAAACGTTCTATTCAAGAGCAGCTGCTGTGACAATTCCAAGAGCAATAGCTGCATTCCCTCTACCAGTAACGATAGCTGGTACACCACCAGAAGCTAATGAAAGATGCTTTTGTGCCAGCAAACTACTTGACTTCTCAAACATAAAAACAGAGCCAATGGCATGAACCAATTAAAAACACGATCCATTCAAAGTATAGTCTCTCTATAAATTTTATAGACTAAATAATTTATTCCAAAACTAGCTTCTGTGGATTGAAGTTCATGTATGCCACAATAACTGTCTTTCTCTATGGCACCACAACACTCTGTGGTTTTGAAGTCAAACGCTATCAAATCAATTTAGATCATCCAACAAAACAATCTGCAGAGTATCAGGATGAGTTTTGGTCTGTCTGTTGCTATTTGTTTAGGCAAGTATTATTCCCAGTTACCAATTAAAGGAGAAGCTCTTTAAAAGTTCCCAGAAACTGTAACGGATACAAAATGCAGCAGCTAGGCTGATAAATCACTAAACTAATGATGCTACTATTGAAAATCTGCACTGCGCACCAACTGCTTACCAGGCACATTTTAAGGTGGATTTATCCATAAAGCCTAAATGTACAGTGGTATCCAGTATTCATCATTAATTGGTTCCAGGAGTGAAAGTAATGAATACCAAAAAAACAATGAGTACCAAACAAATTTTTCCCATGAAAAATAATGTAATGAGGCACAAGGGCTGACAATGATAAG